GAAGCAACTGCTGTCTATCCCTCTTGATCGCGCATTATTCTGTCTCTTCTCATAGCAGGTATAAAAGAAATGCTCAGACCGGACAAGTAGGCGCAATGGATTATGGTCATTGTAGTTAATTACCACGTTTGACTTGATTTTCTGCTCTATATAATATTGGCCTCTTGGAAACTACAACTCCCTACTATATCGCACAGTTCAGGCTTGATCTGATTTATCTCTACAGAAACTGTGCAATGTGCCCATTTAGCTCAAATAAAAAATATGAACGAAATGGAATTGAAGTAATTGAACCGATGTCTGCAAATTATTTGTTTAAAAACCCAACATTTCGGTTAATCGCTCAGAATTAGTGTTCTCGTTTTGTAGGCTAAGAATGGGCTTTACGTTTTCATTTTCAAATTCATGAAATTCAATCTTTAAATACACAGTATATATTGAAATGAATGTGTTTTCGTATGAATTTACTTACCATATGCTGGTTTTTGTATGTCGCTCTTTTGACAGCTTGCCGGTGTATTTTATTTTTTTAGCATTTTCAAAAATTACTGGCTGGCAACATTCAGTGTAAAAAAACAAGCATGAAATCGAATATAAAATACATAAAACGACCTGTAACTATTGGGTTCTTAACGTCCTGTGAGTCCTTAGCTTGAGCAGGCACGATCAAGCATACTTAAAAATATTATTTGTAGTTTTCGGCAATGTGTCTTACTTCCTCAGCGTCAAATATTTTGATAAAAGACATCAATATAATTTTATATATACGGTACCTGTCAAAAGTTTGGACACTTACTCATTCAAGGGTTTTTCTTTATTTTTACTATTTTCTACATTGTAGAATAATAGTGAAGACATCAAAACTATGAAATAACACATATGGAATCATGTAGTAACAAAAAAGTATTAAACAAATAATATATTTTATATTTGAGATTCTTCAAATAGCCACCCTTTGCCTTGATGACAGCTGTGCACACTCTTGGCATTCTCTCAACCAGCTTCATGAGGAATGCTTTTCCAACAGTCTTGAAGGAGTTCCCACATATGCCGAGCACTTGTTGGCTGCTTTTCCTTCACTCTGCGGTTCGACTCATCCTAAACCATCTCAATTGGGTTGAGGTCAGGTGATTGTGGAGGCCATGTCATCTGATGCAGCACTCCATCACTCTCCTTCTTGGTCAAATAGCCCTTACTCAGCCTGGAGGTGTGTTGGATCATTGTCCTGTTGAAAAACAAAGGATAGTCCCACTAAGCACAAACCAGATGGGACGGCGTATCACTGCAGAATGCGTGCTTCACGGTGGGAACCACACATGCGGAGATCGTCCGTTCACCTACTCTGCGTCTCACAAAGACACAGCGGTTGGAACCAAAAATCTCACATTTGGACTCATCAGACACAAAGGACAGATTTCCACCGGTCTAATGTCCATTGATCGTGTTTCTTGGCCCAAGCAAGTCTCTTCTTCTTATTGGTGTCCTTTAGTAGTGTTTTCTTTGCAGCAATTCGACCATGAAGGCCTGATTCACGCAGTCTGCTCTGAACAGTTGATGTTGAGATGTATCTGTTACTTGAACTCTGAAGCATTTATTTGGGCTGCAATCTGAGGTGCAGTTAAGTCTAATGAACTTATCCTCTGCAGCAGAGGTAACTCTGGGGTCTTCCTTTCCTGTGGCGGTCCTCATAAGAGCCAGTTTCATCATAGTGTTTAATGGTTTTTGCGACTGCACTTTAAGAAACGTTCAAAGTTCTTGAAATTTTCCGGATTGACTGACCTTCATGTCTTAAAGTAATGATGGACTGTCATTTCTCTTTGCTTATTTGAGCTGTTCTTGCCATAATATGGACTTGATCTTTTACCAAATAGGGCGATCTTCTGTATACCTACCTTGTCACAACACAACTGATTGGCTCAAATGCATTAAGAAGGAAAGAAATTCCGCAAATTAACTTTTAAGAAGGCACACCTGTTAATTGCAATGCATTCCATGTGACTACCTCATGAAGCTGGTTGAGAGAATGCCAAGAGTGTGCAAAGCTGTCATCAAGGCAAAGGGTGGCTACTTTAAAGAATCTCAAATCTCTAATATATTTTGATTTGTTTAACACTTTTTTGGTTACTACATGATTCCATATGTGTTATTTCATAGGTTTGAGGTCTTCACTATTATTCGACAATGTAGAAAATAGCAAAAATAAAGAAACCCTTGAATGAGTAGGCGTGTCCAAACTTTTGACTGGTACTGTATCTAATAAATAACCATTTTTTTCATGAGTTTGATGATAATCTCTTGAATGGGCTTCAAGAGATTGAGACATGATCCGGAGGTAAAGCAGAAGTGGCTCATCACAATCCCCCAGAAGAGAAATCTTAAGTTCATCTGACTCTGTGTCTCTTAGTCTAAATCGGTCTTCTCTCAACTGTGAACACAGCTCCGTATTCAACCCCATCCCGGAGATATTTGGCAGAATACTCATGTTTTGTTTTTGTTCTAAAGGTGCGGATTGAGACGGCCACAACTCTGAAACTCAATATCCTTCTCATTTAATCTAACTATTTTGCTGAAATACAAATGTTTTGCTTCTTTCAAAAGACCATGTTGTTATGTACCTCTCTCTTCCTGTCACTGTGAAGTCACTCTGTGAAGATGACCCTTTTGTAAGACCTGTCAGTTTCTCTTCCTTAACGTGTCATCACCTGTCGACGACTTTGAGTTCCGGACAGAACAGTTTTTACCGGTAAGTGCCTTTTCTAGGGGAGAAATGTTTTCAAAGAAAGTTGTAATCGTCTTTTATTCTGGCCTTGCTTTTTTTTGATAATATTTTTTGGCGTGAAATGCATGGTATGTGATAATGGGATGTTAAAATGCTCTCTCGCTCTCCCGCTCTCTCTACCTATCTTTCTCGCTCTCCCGCTCTCTCTACCTATCTTTCTCTCTCTCTCGCTCTCCCGCTCTCTCTACCTCTCGCTCGCTCTCCCGCTCTCTCTACCTCTCTCTCGCTACCTCTCTCTCTACCTCCCACCTCTCTCTCTCTACCTCCCACCTCTCTCAAACTTCAGTATCTGGAGTCTATATTCAGCCTGCTGTTCCAGCTGTTGCAGCAGGTGACAGAATGTGACACTAAGATGCAGGTCCTCCATGTTATCTCCTGTGTCATCGAGAGGGTCAACATCCAGGTGAGGGGTCAAATCCCAAAGAGCTCATTGCCTAAAAAAGGTTTCTTCTACTAAGGTCATGGTAAATGTCATGGTAGGATACACATTAGGATATGCACGTAGCTGGGTTAAAAAAACACCACAGAATTAAATGAAATACAATGGCATCCATTGCCTTTCATTCATCAGGGGACAGCCCTTGCTGTTAAGAACAGCCATCATGTAACTGATATGCCACATTTCTTAGCCTGCTCTCCCTCAGGCTAGAGGAAACAAAGCAACTGTCTAAGAGCAAAAGAAACCAGTCACTCATCACTTTCTCACACAGTCGCATTCAACTGCAGGTTTCTGATTTCCTTCCATTGATGAGTGTTTGTCAGTCATCACAAATTATAAAGTGAACTCTGAGTTCAATTGTGCACAACGAAAGCTCTTACTCGCCATTTTTGGGGTTTTCTTTTGTGTTATGATCCGTCATGTACAATCAAATTGTTTTGCTAAATCTACTCAGACAACCGTTGATGACCTTTATTTTTTGACCTCCGTCTCATTCAGTGGGGTAGTCTATGTCTCCTTGACTTCACTCCCTCGTAAATGGCTTCCACTCCAGTCAACTGTCATTAGTTAAATCGCCTGTCATAACTGCCTGTGAGCGAGAGCCCAGTCACATGAATATTTTATTACACCTCACAGAGAATTCTTAAAGGCATAAAATAAAGAAATAATGGGGTAGAAAAGGCGTAATGAATCCATTGCTTGGAGATAAAGAGATTTTTTTTTTTTTTTCTGAATTTACAAATCACTCTTTAGAATGGCTTGGTTCCCTCATCTTCTTTAAAGGGCTGCATTTGAAAGCTGTCTGAGTCTTTTTGTGATTCTCTTTTCCCTCTGCACCTTAAAAATGTGTAACGGTGCAAGAAATTCTAACGCGGTGCTCTCAGAGGGGGGGGGGGGGGGGAAGAAGGGAGGTGAAGAGAAGTGAGAGAAAGAAGTCTAAGAGGGGGAAGGGGCAGGAAGAGTCTTGATAATGGGTAAAAAAAAATTGTATAATTTAAATATCAAGTCCACAAAGAGTCTTAGTTTTGGCCCATTGCACTTAAGTAGTTGTAAATCAGCGGCCCCAGGTGCTGACATCTTTCCCAGTTTCACTGATCTCAGTCGCCATGCCTCTGACTCAATCTAATAAATGACAGAAAAGCTGCCAGAGGAAGAGCAGGAGCATGGGAGAGGGGGAGAGGGGGAGAGAAAGGAGTGTGCGCTATGGTAAACTCACTCGGAGCTCTACAGTACAAGATTAGTGTATGAGTCTGTTACAGGAGTGGCGCTTCATTTGATATTTCCTCATTTTGCTTTTATTGCCGAGCAGCAAATGAGCACATTTCATGGAACATTAGCAGCCAGTGAAAAGAGTTTGTCTGTGTTGGGTAGTTCGGATGAATACATTGGTACGGCTGCCTAGGAGAGAACGTACACAGAGACGATGCAGGTGTGAAAAGTAAGCTGTATGAGTAATTCTTGATATTTTGAAATCGTGTTACCACAAAGAATATCTTGACCTGCTCCCTACCAACCCTACGATTTACACCCAGGACATTATCCAACAGGTAGAATGGTTAGGTCTGGCTCAGAATACTTTCCACGGTAGACCTTGTGTTAGTACTAGATGTACGCCCTAACTAGTAACTGGCACCTGGACCTGTACGCACTTCCCAAATGGGACAAAAAAGATATTGATTGATTGATTTGGGCTTACACATTCATATTGTATGAAGGCCTTTGTGTTTCTATTGAATGTGATGCTCTGGTGTTTGTTGTTAATTGTATTGTGTTTTCTCTTAGATCCGGCCATATGTAGGCTGTCTGGTCCAGTACCTGCCACTGCTATGGAAACAATCAGAAGAACACAACATGCTGCGCTGTGCCATACTCACCACACTGATTCACCTGGTACAGGTATGACACACACACCCCTTAGCCGTTCGTTGCCGCAGCCTGGATAAGCTTCTCATCGCTTCTCCCAGTGTGTAGGCTTGGCCAGTATATACCGTATACTGGGGTATTTTGAAATGCCGACACTATGATTTTCAATACTGTAAAAGCTCTGCTTTTTAGTCTAGGCTCATATTCATTAGTGCAAATCGTAGTAAAACTCTTTGCAACTGAAAACGTTTTAGAACGGAACCAAGTGTTATTGGACAAGTCCAGGTAGTCCCTCAGTTTCTGTCCCTTTTCTTCCATTTGGTGTCTAGTGAATACGACCCAGAAGTAATCTTAACCAGGGTCTGTGTCAATATACCGTGTAGTAAAGTGCCTGTGCCATGGACACATACACCCCATCGTAATCTTTACCCCCTCATAATGTGGTGTGCCGATGTCATTTCCTGTGTGATGTCATCACAGGGCCTGGGGGCGGAGAGTAAGAACCTGTATCCCTTCCTGCTTCCTGTGATCCAGCTGAGTACAGATGTCTCGCAACCACCGCATGTCTACCTGCTAGAGGACGGCCTGGAGCTGTGGTACGTACACACACACACACACACACACACACACACACACACACACACACACACACACACACACACAACCCTGAGAGCAGACTGATACTAACAGCTTCTGTCACTCTTCTAAAGGCAGACGTTTATCAGGCACATACAGCACTCGCCTTTCTTCCATCCCACCCTCTGTAGCTCTCTCTCTCATTCCCCTCTCAGATTTTTCCCTATTTTTCTTCACGTTGCTTTCTCTCTCTCCTCTCTCGCTCTCCTCACTCACTCACTCACTCTCAATTCAATTTAAGGGCTTTATTGGCATGGGAAATGTATGTTAACATTTCCAACGCAAGTGAAGTAGATAGTAAACAAAAGTGAAATAAACAATAAATATTAACAGTAAACATTACACTCAGACGTTCCAAAAGATGTCATATTATGTATATATACAGTGTTGTAACAATGTGCAAATAGTTAAAGTACAAATGGGAAAATAAATAAACATAAATATGGGTTGTATTTACAATGGTGTTTGTTCTTCACTGGTTGCCCTTTTCTTGTGGCAACAGGTCACAAATCTTGCTGCTGTGATGGCACACTGTGGTATTTCACCCAGTAGATAAGGGAGTTTATCAAAATTGGGTTTGTTTTCGAATTCTTTGTGGATCTCTGTAATCTGAGGGAAATATGTGTCTCTAATATGGTCATACATTTGGCAGGAGGTTATGAAGTGCAGCTCAGTTTCCACCTCATTTTGTGGGCAGTGTGCACATAGCCTGTCTTCTCTTGAGAGCCAGGTCTGCCTACGGTAGCCTTTCTCAATAGCAAGGCTATGCTCACTGAGTCTGTACATAGTCAAAGCTTTCCTTAAGTTTGGGTCAGTCACAGTGGTCAGGTATTCTGCCACTGTGTACTCTCTGTTTAGAGCCAAATAGCATTCTAGTTTGCTCTGTTTTGTTGTTAATTCTTTCCAATGTGTCAAGTAATTCTCTTTTTGTTTTCTCATGATTTGGTTGGGTCTAATTGTGTTGTTGTTGTTGTTGTTTTTGTCCTGGGGCTCTGTGGGGTCTGTTTGTGTTTGTGAACAGAGCCCCAGGACCAGCTTACTTAGGGGACTCTTCTGTAGGTGATGGCTTTGTTTTGGAAGGTTTGGGAATCGCTTCCTTTTAAGTGGTTATAGAATTTAACGGCTCTTTTCTGGATTTTGATAATTAGCGGGTATCGGCCTAATTCCGCTCTGCATGCATTATTTTTTGTTTTTCGTTATACACAGGATATTTTTGCAGAATTCTGCATGCAGAGTCTCAATTTGGTGTTTGTCCCATTTTGTGAATTCTTGGTTGGTGAGCGGACCCCAGACCTCACAACCATAAAGGGCAATGGGTTCTATAACTGATTCAAGTATTTTTAGCCAGATCCTAATTGGTATGTCAAATTGTATGTTCCTTTTGATGGCATAGAAGGCCCTTCTTGCCTTGTCTCTCAGATCGTTCACAGCTTTGTGGAAGTTCCCTGTGGCGCTGATGTTTAGGCCGAGGTATGTATACTCTAGGGCAACAGTGTCTAGATGGAATTTGTATTTGTGGTCCTGTCAACTGGACCTTTTTTGGAACACCATTATTTTTGTCTTACTGAGATTTACTGTCAGGGCCCAGGTCTGACAGAATCTGTGCAGAAGATCTAGGTGCTGCGGTAGGCCCTCTTTCTCTCTGTCTGAGGCAGTTGGTGGTGATGTGTCATGAGGTAAGGTGACAGTATACAGCCTTAGGGGAGGTTAGCGCTGGACCAAACACACACAGACAGTACACTGCCTTGTTAAGTTGCCAATGTTGTGTCAGTGATCTGATGGCTGTTTTAATGAGAACTTTACCCTCATATAGGAGATAAGCATTCAGGAGTCAGACCACATTCTGATGATCACTCATCTGCTCCCTACGGCTAACACACACACACACACACACACACCTTTTGTTCTTCTTCACTCCCATCTCTCTCTCTCTTCCCCTCTCTCTCTCCCTCCAGGCGAATTTGAGCCTATAGAATATTCAGGAGGGTGTTTTTCGCAGCTTAAGTTTGTGGGTTCGTTTCCCACGGGGGGCCAGTATGAAAATGTATGCACTCACGAACTGTAAGTCGCTCTAAATGACTAAAATGTAAAAATGTACAAGTGACGTTGCTTTTGGCTTTGCCTTTGCTTCCTCCCAGATAAACAGTCGTGACCGAAGTACGTGTTTACCTCATTTACTGAGTCATTTTGTGTCAACAGCTTCTCTTTTTTCAACTGCTGTCTCGCACTCTATTTAGCGTTCTTTCCCTCTCCTGTCTTTCTGGCTCTATTCTTCTCTCTCCCTTTCTCTATTTCCTTCAATCACTCTCTTTCTCTTGAATGTTCATTCATGCCCTCTCTGATGGGTGATGACGATAAGTTCAAAGTAGGCGTAACACACAATGGCCATTTTCATGTGCGAATAGAGCTCTGAAAAGAAGACATTTACATTTTTTCAAAATGCTTCTCCTTACAGAGCCATTTTGTAGTAAAATATCCTATTGTGGGAGGCCTGTCTGGCTTGCAAAAGCTTGACTGCTGAAGCCTTAGTGTGGCTCGTCTTTTGTGCCTTTCGATGACGGCGGCCTAGTTAAACATGGTCTTTGAACAAGCACATTGTCGGCTTTTAAAGTCTCATCTCAAAGGGCAGAACATCTGCAGTGACGTGCTAGAATGAGCTTGAGTTGCTCTCAATAGACTTACTCAGAAGCATTTTTGTGGTTTGAGTTTGATCGACTCATTCAGACAGATTCTTCTTTTATGGTTCAGCCACACATTGACGTTTCTTCTCCAGCCATAGATATGTACATATTCTGAATCTCAAACAGAGTTTTTGTAGCGTTATCTGTTGTTCTGTCCCGTGTGGCTCAGTTGATAGAGCATGGCGCTTGCAACGCCAGGGTTGTGGGTTCGTTTCCCACAGGTGACCAGTATGAAAATGTATGCACTCACTACTTTTAAGTCGCTCTGGATAAGAGCATCTGCTAAATTACTAATGTAAACTGTAAATCTAGGGCTCTGTTACCGTCTGGTCAGCAGCTTTAAATGCTTCTGTGATGCTAACTCTGGTCCTCTTTCTCCCTTTCACATCCACCCCCTCATACCCCCTCGGTCTCCCTCTCTCTCTCTCCACCTCCACCCTCCTTTCTCTCCCCTTCTCCATCCCACTATCAACCTACAGGTTGGTGACGTTGGAGAATAGTCCGGCAATCACCCCAGAGCTGCTGAGAATCTTCCAGAACATGTCAGCTCTCCTGGGTGAGTTTTACATTATTGATGTTGAGGATGACTTCGATGTTGACGATGCAGTTGTGGATGATTGTGGGAGTAGTTCATGACCCTAGAGTGGCAACACAAATTATAAGGGATTTCAATGCGGCTTTCTCCATTCTGATGGTTTTATACTGTTTAATCCAACTCCAAACAAAAATAGGTAATGAATGCACTGTACACAATACTAAAACTGATAGAGCAACAAGGCTATTAACAAGGGAAGGACTGTATGAAAATGTATTTGCTACATGCACATATTACAATACAGCTATACACAGAGGCAGCATACAACAATGGTAACAGCTAACTACGAAGAATATACATACAAATGTCACACAACTCACTTTGTGCACGCACACCATCCCACAAGTCCAGATATGAGTCCAGCTGTTGTTGTGCAGGCCAGAGATGAGCTTGCTGCTCTCTCTGTGACTGCTTGAATGAGACTGAAAGGGTGAAGCAGAAATTGGGGATCTGGGACCCAAGATTTACATTTACATTTACATTTTAGTCATTTAGCAGACGCTCTTATCCAGAGCGACTTACAGTTAGTGAATACATATCTTTTTTTATTTTTTATACTGGCCCCCCGTGGGAATCGAACCCACAACCCTGGCGTTGCAAACGCCATGCTCTATCAACTGAGCTACATCCCTGCCGGCCATTCCCTCCCCTACCCTGGACGACGCTGGGCCAATTGTGCGCCGCCCATGAGTCTCCCGGTCGCGGCCGGCTGCGACAGAGCCTGGATTCGAACCAGGATGACTGCCTGTGATTGGCTGACCCCCCCACGGTGTCATAAGGCCCCTGGCAACCATGACCCCTAGCAACCAATCGGTTTGGCTAGGGACAGAGGTGTGTAGGGCCAGTGTACGACCCATAGCCTTGCCTGCTAGGCTCCAGAAGGGGAGGGGAGCCTAATGCTGGAGTTAGGAAGTTGCAGAGTTTTTGTCCCTGAGAGAAAACTGTGAGAATGAGATGGTGTGCTAAGAGTCACTGGCAGGGAATTCGTAACATTTCCTCTCTGATTTAGAAGATACCATTGCACAAACAACATGCCTACACAAGCACTAGTACCATGCTATATTAGCTGGCTATGTTTGCTCGGACTCTTAGTACATTTAGCAAATTAGCTAGCCAACTAACTAGTGATTAGCATTAGCTAACACAATTTATTTTAGCAACAACTTGCTAAGAAAATACAAATTAGCAGTCAGTAGTTTGCAGACCGTAAGATACACAATCTAATAGTGTAATTATAGAATGCTTGTGAAAATCACCATGTCACCATCTTCATGCATCCATCTGACAATGCAGACTGCAGAGTGAACGTCAAGAAATAGGGTTGGGTGGTATCTAGATTTTCACATCTTCATACTGTCCTTCTCTTATACCGGGATATACGGTATTACCGGCTTAGTACACAAGGGGGTACCAAACAAGCAAAAAAAAAAATCAGAATGGGCGTCCATTACCAGAATGCATTATCAGAATGCAACAAGTAATAGTGAATTTCAATGGAGACTGCTAGCTAAATATGCTAACAAATGGCAAAATCCGGTAATCCAGCTCATAAAGTTTTATTTATATATATATATACATACACACACACACACACACACACACACACACACACACACACACACACACACAGTGGGGAGAACAATTATTTGATACACTGCCGAATTTGCAGGTTTTCCTACTTACAAAGCATGTAGAGGTCTGTAATTTTTATCATAGGTACACTTCAACTGTGAGAGACGGAATCTAAAACAAAAATCCAGAAAATCACATTGTATGATTTTTAAGTAATTAATTTGCATTTTATTGCATGACATAAGTATTTGATCACCTACCAACCAGTAAGAATTCCGTCTCTCACAGTTTTTCTTTAAGAAGCCCTCCTGTTCTCCACTCATTACCTGTATTAACTGCACCTGTTTGAACTCGTTACCTGTATAAAAGACACCTGTCCACACACTCAATCAAACAGACTCCAACCTCTCCACAATGGCCAAGACCAGAGAGCTGTGTAAGGACATCAGGGATAAAATTGTTGACCTGCACAAGGCTGGGATGGGCTACAGGACAATAGGCAAGCAGTTTGGTGAGAAGGCAACAACTGTTGGCGCAATTATTAGAAAATGGAAGAAGTTCAAGATGACGGTCAATCACCCTCGGTCTGGGGCTCCATGCAAGATCTCACCTCGTGGGGCATCAATGATCACGAGGAAGGTGAGGGATCAGCCCAGAACTACACGGCAGGACCTGGTCAATGACCTGAAGAGAGCTGGGACCACAGTCTCAAAGAAAACCATTAGTAACACGCTACGCCGTCATGGATTAAAATCCTGCAGCGCACGCAAGGTCCCCCTGCTCAAGCCTGCGCATGTCTGAAGTTTGCCAATGACCATCTGGATGATCCAGAGGAGGAATGGGAGAAGGTCATGTGGTCTGATGAGACAAAAATAGAGCTTTTTGGTCTAAACTCCACTCGCCGTGTTTGGAGGAAGAAGAAGGATGAGTACAACCCCAAGAACACCATCCCAACCGTGAAGCATGGAGGTGAAAACATCATTCTTTAGGGATGCTTTTCTGCAAAGGGGACAGGACGACTGCACCGTATTAAGAGGAGGATGGATGGGGCCATGTATCGCGAGATCTTGGCCAACAACCTCCTTCCCTCAGTAAGAGCATTGAAGATGGGTCGTGGCTGGGTCTTCCAGCATGACAACGACCCGAAACACACAGCCAGGGCAACTGAGTGGCTCCGTAAGAAGCATCTCAAGGTCCTAGAGTGGCCTAGCCAGTCTCCAGACCTGAACCCAATAGAAAATCTTTGGAGGGAGCTGAAAGTCCGTATTGCCCAGCGACAGCCCCGAAACCTGAAGGATCTGGAGAAGGTCTGTATGGAGGAGTGGGCCAAAATCCCTGCTGCAGTGTGTGCAAACCTGGTCAAGACCTACAGGAAACGTATGATCTCTGTAATTGGTTTCTGTACCAAATATTAAGTTCTGCTTTTCTGATGTATCAAATACTTATGTCATGCAATAAAATGCAAATTAATTACTTACAAATCATACAATGTAATTGTCTGGATTTTTGTTTTAGATTCCGTCTCTCACAGTTGAAGTGTACCTATGATTATTACAGAAAAATTGAAAAATTACAGACCTCTACATGCTTTGTAAGTAGGAAAACCTGCAAAATCAGCAGTGAATCAAATACTTGTTCTCCCCACTGTATGTATGTATGTGTGTGTGTGTGTAGGAACTTCCGAATATCATTTTTGGTGAGTTTGGACATTTACAAGCAAATGTGGACGAGAGACATTGTGCAAATTAATTAAGTTTTGATGCTTGTCTGAAGGAAGAACAGTACTGGCTCTGGAGCAGCATGTGTACACGCTGTGTCTGTGTGGAGTCTGGTGTCGCTAGGGCAACGGGCCTGACTGCTCTGCTCGGAGATGAAGGGAGAGGAGAAGACGGGCTTTGACTTCTCAAACATTGCAGAAATCGAAAACAATATAATGCTCCGTCATCTTATTCATTCAGCCACTTATATTAACTAGCAAGATAAACGTAAGGGTCTCATAATACAGAATTCTGCGTTTTTCACACAGGGAAAAAATATATAAAATGCATAAGAAATGTCTTGCTGCGTTTTGTAAACGCAGATGTAAAATACTTGTTATTGTAATTTCTGCTCAGCATCAGACTAATTTCGTGCTTCAGACAGTTGCACTTCTCCACTCAGGAATGGGGATTCTATCAGCAGAAAGTGCTCTGACTAGCTACTTTTCTCCTGTACTTTTCTCGGTGTAGCCAGCCTACTTTTCTCAGGTAAAATGCAAGATTAACTTTAAGCAAAACATTAGGAAATGTAGCTGGCTACATTCTTTCTATGATAAACATTATAAATATGATGGTCATGCATCGTTCTTGCTAAAAAGACCTTGCTTTTTCATTGGAAGCTCATTTACTTGTGTGGCTGCCAGCCAAATAGTGTTGCACTTCTGTTGTCATCTGATGAAAATGAAGCCATTTTCTGCCGAATGTGTTGCACTAATGTATTTTCTGTGAAGGAAAGCCTATAGTTGCATGTCCCTGATCACTCTGTTGAAGCAAAACACAGTTGACTTGAAAATAAGATTTGTCCACTGTGAATACACAGCTGGACTCACCTGCTGCCGCTTTCTCCCGTTGTACTATTTACAAACAAATACATGACTGGCTCAACTGTTCTGGGGAACTATGGTAAGCTTCATAATGTAAAATAATGTGACAGGTGAAATGAAGAACGTGATCTGCCTTATCTCCTAACCTATTGCACAATTGACTGCAGGTATTTACTTAAAGTAGCTACAAATATTAAAATGTATTGAAAAACTTCAAAGAAATAGTTTCAACAGTATTGAAAAACCATCCCTTGGCTATTTCCAAATACCCCGGTATACAGCACATACAGTAGACCACCCAAGCCTAACAGCAATAACCACGAACACACGTTGGCAGCCCTAAAAAGCACATCCATCATCATTCTGTGGAAGTAGGCAGAAGCAGTAAAAACGAATTGTTTCACTTTCCATAGTGACATACACTTATTGTAAGTTATTCTGGTTAAGAGCATGTACTAAATGCCAAATGTCTTTGTTATGAAAGGTATGATCTCAGAAAATGAAAACAGTATTATGTAGTTTTTTTTTTTGGAAAATGTAATCCTATAGTTTTCTCTGTCGAATGAAGCTATGTGTCTCTGTAGTATAACTTGTTGCTTCAAGGCCAGAGGAATCATGATGTTGTATTCACTGGTGCTTGATTGAGTGTGGAGCTAGTGGCTGGGTGACTTGTGGTCAGTAGTAAATCTCCAGGCCCGTGGTGTGAAGACCGAGTACAGAGAAGGGATTGATTCAGTGCTGTAGGGAGTCAGGTGGGTGTAAACATTAGTGTAGTTTGGGGACGATTGGCATAGGCTCACGCTATAA